TACTAATAAGCTTATATAAGATAAGAAGAAGATTTAAATCTTCTACTTTAATAGAAGTAGCGAATATAGTAGTTACGAACTCGAGAAGTTCGCTACTACTAAGAGTATAGTCCTTTAAGTTACTATGCCTTATAGCTTAATATAGAATAGTAAGGCAGAAGTATTAAACTATATTATTTATTAATTAGCTAGGAAGTTAATAGCTTAAGGCAAGTTACTACTAGTACTATAGGAGTATACTATAGAGATAGCTACCTACCTTCTTAATATCCTTTCGAGTTAAGTACTAAAAGATAAGTTACCTTATTAAGTATATATAGAGTAGATATAGAAGCTTCGAATATAGCTAGTACTAGCGTATTTAAAGGCTTATAGCTATACTACTATCGTCTATAACTATAGTATAGCTCGGAGTAAGAAGTTCTAGTAGTATAGTAAGGTTAGTCGCCTTATCGGCTATTATAATAAGAATATATATAATGTTTACGTCGCTACTAATTATAAGGTTTATATCTCTAAGAATATAAAGTTTATTAAGAATAACTTTACTAGTAAAGTTAAGGATTACGACGATTTAGAACCTAACTCTAACGCTATAATTCTATTTAAGGAGCTATTTATTATCTACTATAACTTTAAAGAGAAGAACTCGAAACTACTATATATCGTTAACTAGTATATCGTCTATATTATTAATTAGCTAGAGTTTAAGGCTAATAACTACGATATTAAGAGAGTACTATATAAGCTTCTTAAAAAAACATAAATAGCAAAGACGAAGCAACTACTAGCGATAGCTAGCAAACTAAAGAGCTAGACGAGAGGGCCTCTAGCGACGGTAGCGGAGGAATAGGCGGTTAACTAAGGCCTCCGCCGGCGATACTAAAAGTTACTCCGAAGGGCGTAACGCGCCCTATAAACCTAGTAACTACTATACTAATATACTAGATATAAATAGACCTAATAGATAGACTTAATAGAGCTAGATAGGTCCTCGAGACCGAAACCTTCTTACTTAAGAACTCTATCCTTTCTGCCTTCTACGACGCGTACGAAGTCGCGTCTCTACTCCTCTTCTGCTCTACTTAGAGCGACCGAATCGACTAGCTTACTAAAGAGGTAAGCAA